AAGGAGAACTATGGGGTCAGGGCTTTTCCCCATAGTTCTCCTTTGGGTAACGGGAGGACACAAACTAGCGTCCTCCCGTTACCCTAAGCTCAAAATACCGCGAGCTACAGCTCGCGGTATACTGAGACGCCGCAGCCGGAGCAGATCCCGACATTGATGTCGAGATCCGCCCAGCTGCGTGAGTGACAGCTGGCTCTGCCTATCTAGAGGCTGGCTCTGCCTATCTAGAGGCAGAGCCAGCTGTACCCGCCCCCTCCCCGTCCGATCCGCCAGTCAGCGCTGGCAGATCGGAGCGGGGAGGGGGGAATCCAGACCCTCCCCTGTCACGACAGAGAGCCGTGACAGGATCGAGAGGGGAGCGAACGCCAGTATATGTTCGCTTACCTCCCGATCTACTGAGCCGACCTGTGACAGTCTCATTGTCACAGGTCGGCTAGAACTATGAGGTGAGTGAAAAGCACTCGCCTCATAGTTCTCCTTTTAATACTTACGCTGTGAACACACGGTTATATATTTTTTCCTTTACCCTAAACAAACAAAAAAAATTATGACATTCCTCCATCAACGTTAGCAGCATGGATGAATGAATCTTGCCACTGTCAGAAGACCTAAACAGTGCTTGCACCCACAGATGGAAATTTGCTCCATGTCTACTCAACTTTAGTCGCTGAACAAGCAGGCAAAATTAGAAAGCCAGATTGGAGATAGAGCTCTTGTCATCAGATCAGTAAATGGCCAGACATCTAACATTTTCAGAAGGAGGGCTAGCAATGGCAGCCTACATATTCTCTCAGTACAGGTTTTCTTTAAATAAAGTCTCATTTGTATTATGCACAGTCTGGTTATATTTTTAAATAGATGTCAAAATTGACGTGCAGTACAACTGTAAATACTAAAATGTCATCGTCATTTTTTAATTCTTAAATAAGGTTTAATGCATGCCTATGTTTTTTACGACCAATATTAAGAAAATGCTTAATTGTGTAACTGCTACATACTTGTATGGTCCATATACGCATAACCTTCTGAAAAATATTCTCTGGTTCGTGTTGGTGGTCCATTGGCAGTGGTGGTAGTTTAGTTTTGCCAATAAATGCAGACATGTAGCCTTTCTGAAATATACAGTACATCTGTTTTACTGCTCTTAGGTGGCCTATAGAGGAAACACTCATTGTATTACCTGCCACTTTGGTATTTATCAGAACACTTTTCTAGAGAAGCTAAAGCAGTCCTGATGTTGGTTCTTATCTTGCCAACAAAGCACACTGTCAATGGTGGTTCTGCAGTACCTGGGGCCCATAGTTAGTACAACCTGCTGCAAAGACAGGATCGAGGTTTATTCTTTACAAGAAGCAAATATATGCAGTTCTTTGGCTTTCAAACATTGTCAGATATGCTGTATATTGCTATTTTATCACATTTTTGTAAAAGTCCCAGATTTGAAGCAAAGTGCCCGTTTTAAAAAAAAAATGGCTTACTTACTTTTCGAATGTAACTAAGACTTCTGGTATAAGTGGCAATCATATTTTCTGTTAGTCATGCATTTCCATGTTCATTTTTATATTAAGTTCAATTTGTTCATATTATTCATTTATCTGATTTATTTTACTAATTTACTTAAAGATTCTCTTCACCTTTGACTAAGCAAAGGTATCATGTTGGATCAATAATAAAGCATGTAGTTGTTTTCTCGGTTGCTGCAGTGTAGATGCTGCAAGCTGCATTTCAGCACCGGTGAGATTAGATTTATCACTAGCCTCTTGTGGCTTCAGGGCTGGCGCAAACCACTAACTAGATTTGCTTGCTTTCCTGTTGCCAGTCGGCCTCACAGGGTGCCACGGAAGATGCCCCAGCTTCGCCTCTGAGCTCACCCGGTGCTCTGCCTCAGGTTGGCTGGTGTTGTGTTCTGCTATTGGTTTTTGTTGTGTGATTTTATGTTTATCTTAAAAATGAACTGATCCATGATAGCAGGTTAGTTGTCACATTACCATATCCATTCTCCATTTTCCAATAACTATTGAAATGTACACCCGCACAATGTACCACCATCGATAATGGTTGGTAGGACTTGTTCTCACCTTCTAAAGAACCCCTACGTGGCCCAATTCTTGCCCAGTCATTGTAGGATGTGCTTGAATTAGGTAATAATGCGTAATGGCCCCTACAATATAGAACAACATAGTTATTTTTTAAAAACTACCTGCTGCCATGTCCCATTCCTTATTACAATGTAATGTGGTGTGCTTGCGTGTTTAGTGCATGTCAGTGTTTTTTATCATTTTAGCTTTTAGTTTGTTCCATTAAAGGATCAGTAAACCTGACTTGAAAAAAAGCTTCATATGAAAACTAATAACATTCACAATTCTTGCTTTAAAAAAAACCCCAAGATATTTCACATTTTATATGCATTTCTGGGCCGCTTTAAGATCTGTATCAGCCGCCATTTTAAATGATTGGCAGATAATGGTGAATTCCGGGCATTGAATTTTTTAGCTTTAAATTGAGTGAGGTTATCAATGTTGCATAAAATGAGAAATTGCCACCATGGCTATTAAAGGAGAACTATGGGGTTAGGGCTTTTCCCCATAGTTCTCCTTAGGGTAACGGGAGGACACACTAGCGTCCTCCCGTCACCCTAAGCTCAGTATACCACGAGCTACAGCTCGCGGTATACTGAGAGGCCGCAGCTGAAGCGGATCCCGGCAATTATGTCTGGATCCACCCAGCTGCATGAGTGACACGCCTCTAGATAGGCAGAGCCAGCTGTACCTGCCCCCTTCCCCGTCCGTTCCGCCAGTCAGCGCTGGAGGATCGGAGCGGGGAGGGGGGAATCCAGTCCCTCCCCTGTCACGGCAGAGAGCCGTGACAGGATCGAGAAGTGAGAGAACGCCGGTATGTGTTCGCTCACTTCCCGATCTACTGAGCCGACCTGTGACAGTCTCATTGTCACAGGTCAGCTAGAACTATGAGGTGAGTGAAAAGCACTCACCTCATAGTTCTCCTCCTTTAATACAGATGCGAAGATGTTTCTTTGCAATCAGATGTCATAATAGCAGTTTACCAATATTTTGAGGACATGGAGGCCCCCAGCCCCCTTTGTCAAGGTCAGCCATGTGACAGTCAAGACATGTGTGTCCTTGAAATGTTAGTATTTAAGTTTTATGGCATGTGGTCCTTAGTAAAGTTTTAGAAACCTGCAAAAGTTTTACAGACTTATACACTCAGAAACAGCATTTAACTAGATTGTTTTATTAGGTTAAAATAAACTAAAAAGTTAGATGTTTTGTCCAGGGTATAGATAATCGATTACAATGGGTTAAAAGCTTCTGAAACTGTTGCATGCATATCTGTGGATTTTCTTCTTTTTTTTTTTAGCTTGAATGTAATTCTTAGGTTTACTGGCCCTTTAAAAATTGATTTTTGTTTTTTTTGTCTTTGTAACTTGGTGTGTTATATCCGTAATATTTTTATATAGATATTTTCATTAAAGGTTCAGTCTACCCAAAAGTGATAAGTGAATTAGTCCCTGGCTTCTTATGTGTCTTAAATGCTCCAAGAGCCAAGCCTTCCTATCACGTGTTCCGTGCTCTCTGTTGCCTTCTCATCGTGTTATTGGGATCCCTGATATAGGCCACAGCAGGTGTGTAGACGCCGGACCTACAGCTCCCAACGGGTTCCCATGAGATATACGATTTTTAGACAAAGATGAAAGTGTTGGGTTTCTTCCAAAGGTTAAAACTATGACCAGGGTTGTGTTTCACTAATTCATGCTTGTTGAACTGCTATTTATCCAGTTCTCCACATCGTCAGTCTCTGGGTTAGCATACTGATGACCCTGGGGCCTGAGTAACTTGGGAAGAAGGTAAAACTCCAGACAAATGTTGCATGCAGTGGAGGAAACATGAATCCGTCCGTGCATAGGCCAACCAATAGTTTCACCTTGACAGGTTTTAATTCCTCAATATTGTGTTCTAAATTAAAGAAGTTTGGGCTGGATTTATACTCTATGCTTATACTATATTTACTCCCATTCACAACCACTGTCTAAAAGCTGAATGGAAACATTTGTTTAGGGTACCTACTGACCTAAGATGACATTTGTCCTATCCATGCTTGATTGGTCTGTGCATGTCCTTCAAGTCAGTTAAATGCGGGTTCAGGAACAGCTGATTGTGTAGGTTAAAATACCAGTTCCAATCACTTATTCCACCTAAGATAAGCCATTACCAGCTCCACTCCCTCTCTGTTCTCTCCACTCGCTATAGAAGTATCTTTGGCTGAGCTGGGTTAGATAGAGAACTCTGCAGCACTCTTGCAAGAGCTTGCCCTATGGCTGGATTGTGCCACCAATAAAAATGTTTGGACAGCTCTGCAGATGGTGAAACAAAGAGTGACATGATGCCTCTGCTGTACCCAATGCAGTGATGGAGATGAGGAGGGTTCTGTGGTCCAGGAGGGAGAACTGGGCAGGACTGACAATAGTGCATGATATTTTAGTATAGCAGAGGCACAAACCGGTATTAAACAGGTATTATTCTGTACTTGCAGTGTTTAAAAAAGCATAAAACATGGGGAAGTGTGATATGTATGTACTGAATGTTTTGGAATTTTGTGCTCAGACTTAAACTTTCATAACCACAAGGCCAGTGTTCTCACCAGTGATGGAGGGTGCACATATTCACACTTGTTTGTTTGCATCTTCTCTAACACTGTGATATTTAGGTTGTTCAAAGACCGGGTATGAATGGATTTGTGTGGGTGTTATATGTATATGTGTTTATTGTTTTGTTATGCATGTGTTTTTTCATAATCACTTTAACAGCTGTGCAGTACCTTCATGTGCATTCATGTACATCCTCCCTGATTGTGAAATGGTTTTCCCATTGTGTGTGCTGAAATCAGGCTTTGCGAAGTTTTGAAGTGTGTAACTTCCTGAAAAACTGTACCGGCCTTTTTTTTAATGAATTGATATTAATTGAGATTGTTGTCTCTCTCTACAGGCAAAGACGGAGGAGCAGATCTCTGCTGAGCAGAACTGGTATGAGACTGAGAAAGTGTGGCTGGTTCACAAAGAAGGATTCTCTCTTGGTACGTTATGAACTCTTCTATTGACTCCTCCCTACTGCTTTCACCCAGTCCTGTGTGCAGGAGGTCGAAGGAGGGGAAGACAGTGAATTACTACTTTTCTTTTGCTACTTCCTGCCTTCAGTGTATAAGTATGCTGAGAGGTTCAAAACCTCCTAAACTCAGCCTACATTCGTGTAAAGAAACTCAAGAATGAAATCTTAAAAACACATTCAAGTATCTTAACTGATAACAAAAATGTATCTTATTTGTGTATCACTCGGCTGTAGATCCTCAAATCATCTCTGAATTGGTGCTGACATTGTCCTTTCTTCTGAAGGGTGGCTTCTTGTGTTCTCCATGGACCACATGTGTGTTGTAAAGTAGCCACTGCTCCAAACTTGCTCCCGTGATGGACTACAATTTCAATACAAATTAGTAAATTAAACGTGAGATTAGAAGTCCATGGAGTAGCCCATCATGGGAGTGAGCTTGGAGCGATTATCTTTTTCAACTAAATGATTGGTTGTATAAAAATTCTCTCTCTACCCCCAACCTACTAATTGATGATGCCAACTATTCTCATCGATTATTATCGATTTAGTCGATAAGTTGTTGCAGCCCTACGCACAGGGACCATGGGGAACAAAGTAGCCACCCTCCAGAAGGAAGGACAGTGTCCAAACACATTTGGAGATGATTTGAGGATCTACAGCTGAGTGATGCACAAATAAGATACATTTTTGTTATCAGTTTAGATACTTGAATACATTTTTAGGATCTAACTTCGGAGTTTAGTGTCACTTTAAGACCGAGACATGACCCTTCAGTGTCGCTCTCTGATCACAGCAGCAAATTTGGGCTCAGATGGCTTATGAGCCAGGGATGGCACTGCGTGTATTGAGCCTCATTAGAGTACTCACTCCCTTGGATCATCAGAATGGAACTGGCCTATATTTTTTGACTCCTTTGCAAACAGGATGTCACTGAAATTTCACCTGGGAAAGCAATGGCAGTTTTGGGGGAAGTAAACCTTTTGCAATTTCATATAACCATCCTAAACTTCTAACTCCGTATTGAGTTTGTTACCAATAAGATTTGAATTAATTTCCTTATACAGTATATATTTAGTGCTACTGTATTAAGCAGTGCTTTAAGTCCCCATTAAAGTAGCTCGTATTTTTCAGCACGGAAAAGCTCAGCGCAAGAAATCCTGTTGATTTTTCCTTAGTTCACGTCTTAGCACAGAGTCGCGCTAAGAAAAAAGGCGGTCGCTGGAAAAAGGTACACAAGCTTCTTTTTTGGGCAAATCAGCGCGATTAGGAATAGTCAAAAGGGTCACATCGCGCTGATCTGCCTAAAGTGAGGCGCATACTTCAAAGGCAGAGCTTTTCCGTGCTGAAAAATACGAGCAACAAATGCCCTGGTGTGAACTATGACTAAAGGTACATAAATCTTTTACCTTTCCCTGTCACCCAAATAAGCTTACAATCTAATATCCATATGACACACTAAGTTCTATTTGGGAGGAAGTCAATGAACGTACTGTAATGTTCCTAAAAGAAACCAGAATGCTTAGACGAAACCCGTACAAATGTATGGATTTCTAATCCAAACTTCATGCAGATATTGTCATTGGTGGATTTGAACCCAGGGTGCAGAGCTGAAAAGCAAGAGTGCGAACCACTTAGCCGCTGTGCTGAGGAAAAGATTGTTCTTGGAGACTTAAAATCTTATTCAAAAGCACCGTAACACTTCATAATTCACATGCAAATCCTTCTAATGGCAGGGAGTCTGGTTTCTCCTGTCGTATGCAAGAAGGAGGTTTCAAAGTGTATCCCCAGGGGGACTAAGTGCTGATTATTATCATGAATATTACTGTAAATATGTTTGCCTTTGTCCCTGGGAGTGACTTTGAAGCACAAGCAGCACTTTACTGATGATGTGTTAGGGTAATAATGACTTATAAATGAGTTGAGGACTTTTATATTGTCTGATATTCTGGATCTCATTTTCAGTAGTGATCCTTAATGAGACTTGGCATGAATTTTATCAAGCTGTTCTCCAGAGCAAGTTTTACTATCTGGGTTTTCAAATGAATGTGCTTCATGCCCCATCTCCATAACTTTAAATATCCAAAACTGTGCCTAGCGAATCTGAATGCAAAGTACTTTATTAACTATGTATTATGTTGCCTGGAAGCTCCAAACTAACTAATTCTGTTAAATATATTAGTATACACGGCCTGTTTGTGGAATTAAGTCTATTTGTGCTGTTTGTAGATATAAGATTGCCAGAGGGGGGTGTAGCCGCACTGCAATGGTAAATTGTTTAAATTTCCAGAGATTTCTTCTTTAATATTGATAGGGGTTCAGTGGTTGACAGAGAACTGGGCACACTCAATATACAGGTGAAACTCGAATAATTAGAATATCGTGCAAAAGTAATTGCAGTAAGTGCTGCAAAAGGGGCCCAAACCAAGTACTGAGTACATAACACACCTGAACCTCCGACCTAGCTGGCAGCTAGAACAGTCCCTGCATGATTTGAGGATCTACAGCTGAGTGATGCACAAATAAGATACATTTTTGTTATCAGTTTAGATACTTGAATACATTTTTAGGATCTAACTTCGGAGTTTAGTGTCACTTTAAGACCGAGACATGACCCTTCAGTGTCGCTCTCTGATCACAGCAGCAAATTTGGGCTCAGATGGCTTATGAGCCAGGGATGGCACTGCGTGTATTGAGCCTCATTAGAGTACTCACTCCCTTGGATCATCAGAATGGAACTGGCCTATATTTTTTGACTCCTTTGCAAACAGGATGTCACTGAAATTTCACCTGGGAAAGCAATGGCAGTTTTGGGGGAAGTAAACCTTTTGCAATTTCATATAACCATCCTAAACTTCTAACTCCGTATTGAGTTTGTTACCAATAAGATTTGAATTAATTTCCTTATACAGTATATATTTAGTGCTACTGTATTAAGCAGTGCTTTAAGTCCCCATTAAAGTAGCTCGTATTTTTCAGCACGGAAAAGCTCAGCGCAAGAAATCCTGTTGATTTTTCCTTAGTTCACGTCTTAGCACAGAGTCGCGCTAAGAAAAAAGGCGGTCGCTGGAAAAAGGTACACAAGCTTCTTTTTTGGGCAAATCAGCGCGATTAGGAATAGTCAAAAGGGTCACATCGCGCTGATCTGCCTAAAGTGAGGCGCATACTTCAAAGGCAGAGCTTTTCCGTGCTAAAGATTTAAATGCAGCATAGGCACAAAGTTCAAGGTCACTGCATTTCGACACTTTCAATTGTTTTAACAGACCAAAAAGGAGAAATTAGGAGAAATTCATTAATTTATATAGTTTTATATTTTCTTTAGTCAATCAACCAGTTACTTGGGGTCAGCTTGAGAACTGCCCCTGCTCTACGTAGTTCTAAAAAACTGTCCAAACACCTCTAGGTCTGACATGCAGCCTAGGGGGTAAATCCTCATTATTAGAGATGCACCGATACCGATACTAGTATTGGTGCCGATACAGAGTATTTTGGGGCGAGTACTCGTATTCGCCCAAATGCTCCAATGCCTAGCTCGATACTTCCCGATATTTCCGGTATCAGGAAGCCGAGCAGTGAGTCATTACACGCTGCCCGGCTTCCTAATTGGTCGGCAAGCTGGCCAATCAGGAAGCCGGGCGTCGTGTAATGACTCACTGCCCAGCTTCCTGATTGCCCGGGACGCCAGTTCCATACTCCCTCGTCACCTCATGACGAGGGAGCATGGAGCCGACTTCCCGGCCAATCAGGAAGCCGGGCGACGCAACATTACACCAGATTGGCCAGAAAGCCGGCTCCATGGGGACGGCTTCCCTGCTAATCGGGAAGCCGGGTGGCGAGTTATAAGAAGCCGTCTGGCTTCCTGAATGGGACTATTGGTATTCTGTATCGGCGAGTACAGAAAAAAATATATCGGTGCTCGATACCGAAATACCGGTTTCAGTGCATCCTTATTGATTATAATTAGCAAAACTGGGCATAAAATTAGTTGAGCTGGACATGCACATTAAACATTGATTATATAAACTGCAGTTGTCCACTAAATGCTTCAGTTTGTCACAAAATGTATTTTTATTATTATTATACAGGATTTATATAGCGCCAATAGTTTGCACAGCGCTTTACAACATACATTTTTATGTTAATTACAGGGAAAAACATATCATTTCCATCTTGGCCCTCCAGCAGTGATGGAACTACAAATCCCATGAGGCATTGCAAGGTTCTCACAGCCACAGGCACGACTTTCAGAGACACATGCATGATGGGATTTGCAGCTTCACCACAGCTGGAGGTCCAGAGTTTGCCCCCCCCCCCCAAAAAAACTAAAGTACTGAACAAAAATCTGATCATACACACAAAGTATAATCCCTTTTTAGATTTCTCAAAGCTGTGTAGTATAAGCAATGTGTTCAGTTTGTAGCCAGTTTAGCAGGCCCTTACACTGTATAATATTTGATAGATCTAAGTGAGAATGTACAGTGTAGTGTGTACGGTCGGCTACAGCCTTCATTAAAACAGCAACTGGAAATTCAACAGTTCACTAATTGGGTTTTGTAGAGACCTCTTACTCTGTGTGAGATTTAATCTCTCACTATAGGTAATCGGACACTTGAAGCCGTATTCACTAGAATTTGAATACATAAGGATTAGTTAAAATACGTCAGGTTTTTTAATACTGTGTCCCCTTTTTGGAAATTTCCCTCACTTACTCTTGTGTCACCAGAACAGCATGCAGATATGGATAGGAAAAATAAAACCCATTGCTTTTAACCCTTCCCAAAGAGACACCATCACTTTGCCAATGCAGGGCAAGCTTACAGTGTCTCTCGAAAAAGACACTCCCTCCAACCCACATATATTCATCTTACCCATGCTCCCTTGCAGCGCCTTGCTCCTCTGCAGCCAGGGAGAATAGCTGGCACTTCCGGGTATGGAGGAACATGGGACAATGCTTGTGCCTAGCCGCCAATTAGTAGTCTGGAGCACTGTCACGTGACCAGTGGAGTGAAAGCACCCCTCCTCTAGGTCACTGTCATGGCTGATCCCAACACCAGCTGCATGAGCGAGCTAGAAGCTGAGATGTATCGCTGTTAGGTGAATATATGTGGTTTGGGGAATGCACTTTCTAGGTGCATGACAAGGTCCCAGTGGTTTAAGGGGCCATAACGGCTAAATGCCCATTGTTTTTTGCTCATTGCTTTATTCTTTACAGCATTGTTATCTTGTTACATGTGACAGATTTGCTTCAAGCAGGTCATACACCCTCAACTAGACATAGGGCTATTTATATAAATGATTAATGTAAACCTGTTTCCACTTGCTGTGCTTGACCTATTAACCATGGGTTCTGGAATGTTTGATTTTCAGGTACATATAAAATCCCTAAGTTATCTTCAGGTAATCTGACCTAAATGGTTACTCTGCAATCTATTTAATTATGGACTTGAATCCCTTGAATTAGATGGGGCGGGGGGTTTATGTATGTGGTTGGTTTACCCACCAGATCCTTATACTACCAGTGCAATCAAATGATCCATCCATTAGCCTATGTATAGAGAGCTCACATTCCCTGTTGAGTATTCCATTCATCTGTTGTACAGAATTTGCAGTAGAAGGCATGAGACTCCATGGCAGGGAATGCAGAGCAAGGAAATGTGGCAGGGAGGTTTTCTGAGAGACAAATGCTGGCCTATATGGCATCAACTGTCCAATTCTGAGAATATCTGGACACGAAAAAAAACACCTCTATTGCTCTGGATGATTTCATGTTACTTATTTTGTATGGTTTCATTTAATGTTCCTCTTGTCTTACAGCAAATAAACTGAATGCTGAAAACAGCAATCTACCTGAAGGAAAAGAGAAAATTCGACTGGAGCATGATGGGAGTATACTGGATGTGGATGAAGATGACATTGAAAAGGTGGGCTTTCCGTGTAAAGCACATTCATGTGTATGCATATAACTGGTTATATTATTGCCTCACCTGTCTCACTTTACTAACAAAGGGCACGTCATAAGAACAGGTATCACAAGGTGTCTTCATTGCGAACTAAAGATTTGAACGCTATGGAAGCCCCCTGATCCTGGGTGCACAGTGCTTACGTGAAGTTCTGTCATGCCTTCCCTTTTGTTCTACTATCCAATGAAAGCATGAATAGCACCAGTTATGAGAAGTGTTAAGTGGAAGGACACCATGCAAAGTCCTGCAACTTCAGTTGCACTTTGGATCAGAAGGCACGCAAGAATGCATTCATTTAAAGTAGTATCAAACTCTCAAACTTTTTTTCAATAATGTATCCAGAGCAAACCACTATACATTGCCCAGCAAAATATTTATTTTTCCATTATTTACATTGTCCAAGCACCTGCAGTCATCATGTGTTCAAATAGTTGGCTCCAACTCAGCGCAATAACTGTCCATCTACTAGCTAGGAGAAAGGAGGAATGGAGAGCAAGGGAGTTTCTTGGCTTGCTGTGTTTGTGGAGATGATGCCATGATACCTTTCTACTGTATACTGAGCTTTGGGTCACGGGAGAACGCTAGTTTGTGTTCTCCGTGACCCTTAGGAGAACTGTGGGGAAATGCCCCATAGTTCTCCTTTTAATATCACTTTAAAGCTGGAAATAGTTTTTCATGTGTATTCTTGGTATTTCTTCCAGATCTGTGCAATAATCCAGCATAAGACAACTCTTTGACTTTGTGCAGGAGGTCCTTGTCATAAAGACCAGTCACTGCTGCTCTCTCTCCTTGTGCATGGTGACTGGTCTTCTCCTCTCCTCCTGTAGTTTTTTTTCCAGGCAGACTGTAGTGGGTGGAGCCTGCTGGGTCCCTGGCTATTAACAAAAAAAAAAGAAAGTCCCATAATTATATAAAAAAAGATATAGGTATCCTTTATTATATTATATATCCCTTATGACAACATACATTTGACTAATACCCCCTGTATATTATAAAATCATTGATCTCAGCTTATTTTGTACAAGACTGGTATTTACTAAACTTTCACAGCAGTATATTAACTTGGCTTTGAGAAGCAGGAGTCTTGCTTGATCCTTGTTGCTTGTTGAAGCAGGAGTCTGCTTGTTGAAGCAGGAGTCTTGCTCGATCCTTGTTCCTTGATCCTTGTTGTTGATCCTTGCTCGATCGTTGTTGCTAGTTTGCTATAGACCACCTGTTGGGAACCATCAGAAAAAAAAATGGCTTTTCTTTGTTGTGTAGTGCAGTATGAGAACCTGTCTGGTGTCAACCAACCTCCTTATTTCTAGTTTGTGTCAGGTCTGCAGGAAAACCTTTTCAAACATTCTCTGTAGTATATGAGCCATTGAAAGTCTTGAGCTGCACTAGCGGCATTTCAGGTTATGGTAAAATGAATCACATTATTTTCTGTGTCCCCTGTTATCAATGAACAGGAATCCTCCATGAGTGTTCCTGTTCATTGATAACATGAGGACAGAGTATGTTTACTATAACTACAACTATGAATGAACAGGAAGTGATGTAGATCACTTCCCATTCATTCATAATTGAGGCTATAGTACACATACCATGTCCTCAATTATGTACAAACACTCAGCAATCACTGATCACTGACTGTTTGTACCCGCTCCCTTCTCTGACAGCCGTCGCAGGAGGCTGATCGAGCCGTGTAGGGAGGAGAGGAAAGCCCAGCCTCCTGTCACAGCGTGGGCTGTCTCCGCCCACAAACCGCTCTGTCGGACTGTGATAGGAGGCTGAGCGGTGTGGGACGTCTGAGACGCTGGCCTCTCACATCGCTCTCCTGCAGCACTCGGCCGGCTATCACAGTTTCTCTCCTCCCCGCTGGGACACAGGGCAGCACCCAGCGGGGAGGAAATAAATCTGGGATGCGCTGATGTATCGGCAGGAAAATTGCACTTTCAGCATTATGCCAAAAGTGCCATTTTTGTCCGATATGTTTCGGTGGCCGATATATCGGTGCATCCCTAATTGAGGTAATAGAAATCAGCCAGTATATCCGGGGTGTAGAAATTTAATGTGGGATTTGGGAGCCAGTCCATCCAATCCAGGACGCAGCAGGAGTTTTTCGGGGCCAGCTCCATTGACAACTAGAGAAAACTTCAAAAGTTAGGCACCAGCTGTAATTTTTTGGGAGAATTGGGTACCTGGCTCCTGAGATTTGTCCAGCCCTGCAGTATATGGTAATAGAAGCAGTGTGGGGAATATCCCTTGCTTCCTCATCCAGTTCTAAAATATTGCATCTTGTACTGGCATTGGATATGAGTCCTTTCATATCACTGCCTGCCGTACTTGAAAAGTACCTTCCAAGTTCAGAACTTTGTTATAGCCAAGAACAAATCTGGAGGACTGTCTTTGTTATACAGTGATTTCTCATGAGATAAAAAACCTAAATGAAACCTTTTTTGTGTTTTTTTTTTTTTTTTATACAGGCGAATCCTCCATCTCACGATCGAGTGGAAGACTTGGCATCGTTGGTTTACCTGAATGAGGCTAGTGTACTGCACACTTTGCGGCAGCGCTATGGAGGCAACCTGATACATTCGTATGCTGGACCTGCCATGGTCATCATGAATCCCATGAGCTCTCCTTCTATATATTCTGAAAAGGTATGATTGTACAATTAACTATATGGTAATTACAGTGGAACTGCAGTGAAGGTTCTGGTGTGTGTGTCACAGTTAGAACCTCTGTTAGGCCTTTATAAAGATCTGTGACCCTGTTTTGAGATTCACGTGACCAATGCCACCACAACAGAAGGCAACAAAAATTCTAAATATTTAGAACTGGCATGGCAAGTGAGACAAATTTTCTCAATGAGGACTCCTGTCCTGGTGACCACTATCACCGCTGAGATTTCCACTCAGCATGGGAGAATTTTCTGTCACTTGAAACAGTAGAATGGATCCCAGCAAACCTCTCAGGACATCTAAAAAAGAAAGGTGAAAGATTACATTTTAAACCCTAAGGTGCACCTACTTTTGAAATTAACACTGTCGCCACTTTAAAATGATTAAGCAGGCACCCAGTGAGTGACCACAAGTTAGAGCAGTACAGGTATTCCTCACTTAACGACCGAGTTCCGTTCCTACGACCAGGTCGTTAAACTAATTGGTTGTTAAGTGAGGAACTCTATACAGTACTGTACTGCATTAGTACAGTATTGTATAGCGTTGCAGATGTACAGTACCGAACAGTGTACTGTACATCGGGCAATGAAAATACTTACCGGGACCCGCAGTGAAGATCGGAGGACACCACTTCCGTCGGCGACACGGCGCACTGACGCTGACGCGCAAGGTCGGAGGTCGATCGGCGGTCCGTCGTAAGTGCGAGTGGTCGCAAAACAGGTAAGTCGCTAACCGAGGAATGGCTGTATTAAATTCTCAAACAATATTCCATTAAAGAATCTAGATCAAAAAAATATTAATTGCCTAGCAAATGTGTCTTTAAGTTCTAGCCCAAGCACTTAGTCATTGTGTTTTAAACAGCTTGCTCCAACTCTCTCAGCTCGGCTTTCCTGAACTTACTGTCAAGTACAAGAGCACAGGGTATAGAACAGTCTCCAGCAGCCGTCCATTTACTAGCTGGGAGAAGGGAGGAAGGAGAGGTGGGGAGGGAGCAGGAGAGTGGCTTGCCTTGGTGTGCCTATGTGTTTGTGGAGACAAAAACCTTTTGACTGTAATATGACTAACAGTAAGCACAGTATGAACAGGTAGAGTTTTAGTATAGTTCTAGTTTGCACTTTAAAATATCGAATTTAACATATTGCTCCACCTTGTGGATGACTGGGAAATTACATGACTTGATAGGCAAGATTCACGATCTCTTCAAGGAGACCTCTGTCATGAGAAATACAGACTCTTACATTCTTGAGCTGCTTTGAAAAATGCTAGTTGCTTGCAGATATTTTGACTTCTGTATTGACTTTAAACATATAAGCAGCATTTTGTATTATGATTGTAGTGCATCACGGGAGTGAGCTTGGGGTTGTGGCTACTTTAGAACACACACAGGGACCATGGGGAACAAAAGTAGCCACCCTCCAGAAGGAAGGACAGTGTCAGCACCAATTCAGAGATGATTTGAGGATCTGCAGCCGAGTGATACACAAATAAGATATATTCTTTTAATGGTTTAGGTTCTTAAATGCATTTTTAAGATTTAACTACTGAGATTAGTGTCACTTTAAGGTTTTTTTTTTTTTTTTTTTTAAAAGTCCTTAAAGTGGACCTTTGGTGTATTAAGTCACTTTACCTCACTGTCCTTCCCCACGAAGTAAAACACCATTATTGCCTAGGCAGGAATGACATACCCCTGCTGCTTCTGCAGCCTTCATGGAATATCCCGCCCTATATCTCAGGAGGCTGCAGGAGCCAGGACACGCAGTGGCCACTGGGTGAACATGACATGTCACCAGGGGTGGCTTCCTGAACCCGGAGGAGACTGGCTCCGGATCACTGAGGAGGACCAAGATGTTGGCATGGGATTCAGGCTGTGGCATCTGATTGCAGAAGGACAGCTGGGACAGTGATGATCCTCTTTAACTATTGACCAGCTACAGTTTATGTGTCAGGTGTACTTTTCATCAGTAAAAGACTTGCTGCTGCATTGTTCCTGACATCATCCCAGTGCCAACCTTTCTGTTGGCTGCACAGTCATACAGGAGCGCCTCTAGAGTACAAATATCCCCAAAGGCGTTATTTCTCAGATTCCCTGCCCATTGGAATTGGTGACAGTCTACACTGTACAGACCACATTTGATCACTGGCTGATGGATATATCAGACGCTGGCTCCTGTTATGTTTTTCTCTAACTTTTTATAAAATGCAGTAGTAGGCCTCAGGGGATGCCATTCGGCACTTAAATTACCCTTCCTCTTCAGCAGCAGAAACCCCTTATTTTTCCAGCACAGAGACATGAGTCTAGTCGGGTTTCATTATAAATTTGCTCTGATGTGAGATACATCAGGGCAGGCCAGTTCACTCAAACCCCGTCAGTTCTTTTCCAGTTTCCCAGTTTAAATCTGCTCGTAGTTGCCATGGCAACATATTTTCCCCAGAGCTAAAACTGTGCAGGTACATTCATTCCTAATTATGGTCGCAGTCAAGTTTCCTAATAAAATCATCCTTTATCTTCTATCAGCTATGTCATTTCTGAAAGCCATTTCTATGAAGCTCTCTGAAAAGTTAAGATTTAAACAAGGGAAGGCTAGATCATTTTGTGTAGAGCACAAACTGCCGCGTTTGCTTTTAGTGACCTACAACCCTCTCTTCCATGCAGACAATTTAATTTACTTACTTTCAAGGAACAAGACTAGCAGGTGTGCTGTAATTCAGGGCATATACCCTGTTTCCCCGAAAATAAGACCTACCCCGAAAATAAGACCTAGTACTATTTTTGGGAATTGCTAAAATATAAGACCTACCCCGAAAATAAGACCTAGTTGTGACCATTCCCAGGGCCGGTGGTGGCATAAGGGGGAACTTGAAGAGCCGCCGGAGAGGCAGGAGAGAATCATCGGTGCCAACGAAGCCAGAGCTAGAGGAAGCCAGGCGGCACCGGAGGGAGCAGAGCCGCACAAGTCGATGCTTCTTCTGAAGCGCCGGCTCCTGTCACAGGCGGAGTGATATCAAATGCACTCCGCCTGTGAGGAATCGATAGTGAAAGTGCGCTTCGCTCATTCTGGTTACCAAATTGCTCTTGGAAAGGTACGGCACCCCTGATTGCCCTGATCACCATATGTTTGTACATGAATACATATAGACTTTTCTACATGAATAATTGTGGATTGTTGTACATTAAAACAAATAAGACCTACCCCGAAAATAAGACCGTGTGTTTTTTTGAGCAAAAAAAAAATATAAGACAGGGTCTTATTTTCGGGGAAACACGGTATCGTTGTAATGGCCTAATAGTGGTTTAACATCTCGCCTTCTGAAATGTGCCGATTTCTTTCTTTTCCTATTACGGAATTTTAGTTCTGCCTTAGTATGCCCAACTCTGCTACCATATGTCGGAACAATCCAAGTGTCTATGGACTGCCCCTTCATCCAGCACAGAAAATGGCTTTATTGCTCATGGCTATAAATTCAATTGCAGCATCCCTTTGGGAATTTTATAGAACTGAAACATCTGATTGATTGGTATGTGTGATAGTCTTAGAAGGGGAGTGATCCTCATGTTCTCCCATCACTGAATGCTCTTAGTATGTCACTTCTTAAGTATAAGTTTTCTTAGACATCTCAGATAGAATGCGAGGAACCTTAATGCCCAACTCCCGGATAAAATAAAAAAATGTTCCCCTACACCACCCTTTACTGATCACTGGGCTGAAGAAAAAAAACCATAACAAAATCCTTTTCCTTTTTTTCCCTTTTACCTTAAGCCACAGTCACGTGATTGTCAATTGCCGGGTCCTTCTCTCTGTTTACTTCCTGCTAGGGTCTTCTTCTGACTTTCTGCTAGCTGGGACTGCTAGTGCAGTACAGCACAGTAACCTTCCCCCCCTCCCTTAACTGACCTTGGATCGGCATTGATGGTCCTTTTGGCTCATGAGAGGACCCTTCCAGTGGACAGCCAATGGGAAGTGTCCACATCATACAGGCTGTTGGATGTCCACCAGAGGGGCCCTTTCAGGATCCAGAGTACCGAGGGGAATCAAAGATAACCGGCCAGCCAAGGGTGTGACGCTAGATTATGAATGAGGTGGGTAAGAAAAATGAAACTCCTGGCAGGATAGATTATTTTACTCAAGTTAGGCTTTTAGGGCATTACTATGGGTCTGTCTGTCTTCTCTGCATTTAAACTTTTTTTTTTTTCCTACTTATTTTTTGTGGGGAAAACAGAAGCAAGAGATGCGACCAGCTTCAGCCAGTCAAAGCTCTCATCATCTCTGTTCTTAGCACTGTCATATTATCCTGCTTAGTCATTTGACGTAGTTTGCTCTCCACTGAACCCGCCATTGTTCTCTTCCAGGTGATGCATATGTTCAAGGGATCTCGAAGAGAAGACACATCTCCTCATATTTACGGCGTGGCCCAAGCTGCATACTGGAATATGCTGATGACTCGCCAAGACCAGTCCATTGTCTTACTGGGAAGTAGTGGTTCTGGCAAAACCACAAGCTGCCAGCACCTTATTCAGTATCTTGCTACTGTGTCCGGCAGCACAGGAAAGATTCTGTCAGGTATAACGCAATTGGTGGATAAAGCCAATGTTCATTCTAATGTTCGGGTATAGATTGTTAAAGTAGATCTATACCCTAACTGGGTGTCACGTAGTTTGCTACAGAGCTGTATATCATAAACTATTGCCATTTTTTTCCCTGTAAACTACAAAATAGTTTACAAACCATTTTTTCATCATTTGCATCTCAGTACTGCTGACTTCCCCAAACCTCTATCAGCCACTTCCTGTCTATGTGCACATACTGCAGCATTACCTACACATCACTGCCCTAGACCTCCTCCCGAATAGTGACAACAGTGGACCATTCCTGTGCAATGCGCGTTGGCATGGCTACTTGTAGCCTCATACAATGCTGAGTGGAAGGTAGAGTGACAACAAAGGGAGCACAATTAGTAAACAGTTGTCACGCTATCAAAGTAAGTGCTTGAAAACATGCCTTTATGGCTGGAACGGGTATTTATTTTATTGAACACTAGTACTGATTTTAAACTATAAAAAACTTTTGAAAACACATTAACATGTTTTAAGCTTATATGAGATTTTAGTGATTTTGGTTAAGTTTGCCTAACAAAAAAAGATACAGATCATCTTACAATTAATAAAGAGAATAATTCACATATGTAGCATGTTATTCTCCCCACATAGATAACAAAATCGTATATATTTAGAAAACACCATTTTGATCCCATATGAAGGTTTTGAATGTAAACTGACTCCTAGGACACAACCTTCACGTCAGATGACTCTCATATTCATGTTGGTATTCTTTCATCTGTAAGTGTCAGCCTGTGAAAATGCTGGTGAAGTGTTCCCCGGTTCCGATCCGTTTTACCTCCTTCTCTCCAGTAGAACACGCAATAGTAATAAATATTTTCTGGTACAATATCCTAAGCTTGCAATATATCTCCTAGCCACTGGGTGGCACTATTTTATTAGAAGTGCCACAATATCGGATTATTTACATGCCCTACCTACAAGATTTTTTTTTTTTTTTTTTTTTTTTTTTTCCGTTAAAAAGGGGATTTGAATTTTCCAATTTTA